TCAACAGTTTTAACCAAGAACCAAAGCGATGTTCGAACAAGCCCGGGAAGTAGCACTGGAGTCGACTTATTATGCTCGTAATCGCCACCGTTATTCTTATCATTATCATCGCCTTAATCGTCACTATCATCAGCAGTCTTATTATTGTCAAAATCATGAACCTCTTTATCAAGGACTACTGGCAAAGTGGCACAGTCGTTTGCTCCTAATATCAAATTCTCCTCCCCCCTGCAATTTGGCTTTTGTTAAATCTATCGTTACCAGTATAAGTTGACACCTATCACTGTCATGAAGTGAGGCTGTTAATCAAGAGGTAGTTTTGCATTCTAGCCAATCGATGCAGAACTTCCAACGCCTGGACAGATCATTGGACATTTACGAACCATGGAGCATGACTAATTGCACAATTAGTCATCATTTAAACGTTTCGACAGGCTGTTTAATCGCCAACTGACCCATACAGTTCTACATATTGATAATGACATGCTGGTTCAAGCGAAACGCTAAATTGTTAATATGTATAAATGTCTTGCCTCATTCTGCTGGTCATAGAATCAGAATACGTACAGTACAATCTGAAATGTTAAAGATGTTCTGTGCGGTGAATTCACGATGCAGTATCATTCTTTCAAAAAAATGTAATTATTTGATGCATTTCATGATTCGATCATGAGGCTTTTTTTACTCAGATTATCGTATTATTTCGTTTAAATCAAATTTAAGATCGTTGAATAATGAATCTAATTCTTTGTAAGGTAAGTTGACAAGTAAGCATGACAATCTAGGTACTGTAAAATCAACAATCAAATGTACCTGAGTCTCGCTTAAGTGCAACATTATAACGAAACTTGACAAACTGTACGAGTGTCCATGAGCAAAGACATTTTTCATCCGGTATCCATAATTTACGTCTTGATCATGTGGCGCTATCGATCAAAAGCGGTGAGTTCAAAACAAGCCTGATAAATTGCGAAAATATCCTTGGAACGCACACTTAGTTACCCGTATAATAAACGCCATCGCCGATGCATATTTAACCATCGAAACAAAGGTCATCAGCACGTAAAATCATATGATCTCATGTATTATTGCTTCCATAAACATGCATAGCTACTAAAAATACTTGAATCGTCATCAAGGTCTTACGCACAGTAGGCATGATGACGCCTAGTTATGCGTTACCTGGCGCACGTTCGATCTTGACCAGCGTCATTCACTCATGATTAGGTTAGCATAAAATACAATACACGCGTATTTAAACGATGAAGGCCTTACGGAAAAGCTCACGTCGCAAAATGTGCCGTGTGCCTGTCGCATTGCTTGCAATAGTTCTCAGTGATTCGATAGTAGGTATATCACAGCAAACTCCGGGAACTGATTTCTGCGCTGGTAAAGAAGATGGCGAATTTCAACTGGCGAAGTGTTCACCCGTGTACGCGGTGTGTTCCAAACATCACTTAGAAATTAAACACTGCGTCGTTCAAGGCGCAGTCTATTCTGCGTCTACAAGATCCTGCGTCATCCGGTACGGTTCCGTCGGATGTGCTACTGG